CAGGTGCCCCCCACTTTCGGGGACCGTCCTATAGAAACTGGGGACATGCTATGCAGGCAAACGACTCTAGTGCAGACTTTAAAAATGATCGTGAGGTTTATGAGGCAGCAGAGGAATGATTGTATTTATGACGGAACATTCACTAGATAGAGTGTATGTAAAATTCACAAGCATTTAAGACCATTATGGAAAACAGAAAATGTTTATATTGTCACAAATAATTAATTATCCCATTTATGTATGCATGTATGTAAGCATGTGTTGACTGCCTTTGTGTGTGTGTGTGTGTGTGTGTGTGTGTGTGTGTACAAACATATATACACACCATGGGGAGAGAAAGAGATCAAATGCTATTTAAATAAGTAAACAAGTATATTTCATAAAGAAGACTGACATTAAAACTGACTCCACCAAAAACTTAAAATTTAGATTGGTTTAGGTCAGTAATTATTTTCTTCTCGTCTTCTATAACACACAGAATCCCCCTAGTGATCACGTCTCACCTTAACGATAAGGAAATATATTTTTGTTTGCATATTTGTGTAGCAGAGAAATTAGATTTTTTTAAAATGCCACTTACTGGGGTTCCGGGTGACCCAGACGGGCCTGGGGGGCCAGGAGGACCTTCTTTCCCCTAAGAGATCCAAGACACAAAAGCACCAAGACATTAAATCTCTCAGAATGGCTTTCCTGGAAGTAAATGACGTCACACAGAATTGCCTTCAGGGGGTGAAAGGGGTCTTGGGAGAGAAACAATGGGTGCTCCTGCACCCACCTCCGGCCTCTCCAGGCAGCACCTCCCCCAGGGCAGGGAGGAGCCCTGGGCGGAGCGTAGGTACACAAGGTGGCGGATGCCCTGGACTGAGCATAGGTACGCAGGGTGGCGGATGCCCTGGGCGGAGCATAGGTACGCAGGGTGGCATGCAGGCCTGGTCCCCCTGTGGCCGTGTTACCCAGATTTGGGAGGAACCAGAGTGGAAGCCCGGTGGGAAAAAGATGGTGGGGCTTCGAAGTTCACCGACCTGAGTCCAGCCCCAAATCTGCACTTTTCCCCCAAACTGCCTGAGACTCGGGTCCCCACCTGCCACTCAGCACTGACCACTGCACCTGGGCGTGTCAACGCCAGCGGAGAGCTGACCAGGGGCACAGAAAAAAGGTGGTTTGGTTTTTGTCACCCTTCCGTCCAGAGGTTCCGAAACTTTTTACCACCAATGGTCACTTAGCATCTCCTCACGCCAGGCAACAGACCTTGTGTTTTGAAAGGTGGTGTTTACCAAACTACAGTGATTAATACTTCATTTCCCATTTTATTCACCCTAGACACACGTTCCTGTCCAACAGAGCTGGTAAATAAACGTGAGGTGATCAGTGTTACCACTGCCTTCCTGATGAACACTTTCATGTCATCCTGCGTGTTCAGAGGTCCTGACAACTTTCTAATTCCCCACCAATATTTCTTTTGTGATGAGATACTGATGCCAGGTTTTACATTCTAATCCACACGCCACACAAAATGACGTATTCTTAAGGGTTGTGATTTTAGCCTCTTGGAAGAAAAGTAAAAGCAAAAATATTTTAATATTTATTTCAGGTTTATACAGATTTCATATATTGTCATATATAAAGTATCTAATCAGGGGACCCAAAACATGCTTCCTTTACTAAGTACTAAACTCAAAAAAGCTATTCAATAACCGAGTTTTACCTCCATGCCTGAAGAAAACGAAAGACATCAGTGATGTATCAGTAAGATGTCAAAAATATTTTTTCATAGACCCCTGGGAACCGATGAAGGATGGACAATGTTTCAGCTTTACTATTGGTTTGTTAAAGTCTTTTCTCAAAAGGATTTACACTCTACATACTCAGGTTGAATGGTTATTCTTAATCTAAAAAAAAAAATGCTGTTTATCCATTTGCATTGATAACAGTTTGGCATAACCTGCATCTCTATAAATTATGTGGAATGATATTTAAGACTGTGCAGATACAGTACCACTTGGATCAAAGCAAAATAATAACAATAAAACAGACAGAAACATCCCCCCCCCCCACATCACAACACATTTGTCAACTAGAGATGAATATTTCGGCAACGTTAGGGATTTTTAAATTGATAATAAAGGTTTCTGGAGACTCGAATCATTTTTTTAAAAAGCAACAAATGGGAGATGGTCAGAATTCCTTTGTACAACAACGACAAGACACCCCATTCATGAGACCCGAAAACAAAGTAAGGGCCTCCGTTCCAGGTAAAAACAGGTGGCAAATCGTTCACGTGATGTAATTCAAAATATGATGAAAATTTAGGTTTTTATGTCTTTTTTTTAACTATGCCTCACTTTATTTATTTATTTACTTTTAAATTGCTGCCTTTTAACTGCCAAAACTCACTGTTAGTGCTAAGAAAACTTTCAAGTATGTTCTGGTTTGATGTTCACGGTGAAATATCAGGACCGTGGACAGCTTCAAGCGCAGCCTTAACTTGCCTGAGGTCCTATGTCAGAATCAATGTTTGCTTTAATATGGTTTAATTCCTAGGGATGGAATGATGTACATCTGGTCTCCACATCTTATTCTTCTTGGGCAAACAGTCCATTAGTTTTTATTGGGCAAATATTTTGCTGTCTGAGAATCAATAAAAAGCTGCCTGCAGTTATGTTTTATTTTATTCATCCTGGGACTTCTAGGTGGGCTGCTTCAAAAGGATTAGCCAGATGATGGTCATAAAAAAAAAAAAATTAAAAGCCACTGTGGTTATTGTTTTTCAATCTCAGCATCCCTCTAGTCCCCAGCCCTGACCATCCCACATGGTGGATCACGGTGGAGTAGTAGAAAGGACAATGAGTTGACTTGAAACTGCCAACTTACTCACTTCCTGTACGACCTTGGACAAGTGACCTGACCCTCTGTCTTCGTCCTCCTCATCTGATGAGCAGGAAGCTGTCTTTCGTGGTCCCTCAGGTGCTTTTGGCACTAGAGTCCAGACACATCAGGGCCTTGACCTCGCAGGTAGCCAGACTGGAAAATGATGCTGAGGTTCCCGGAGACTGGGGTTTGTACCTGGCTCTGACATTTTCCCGCTGTGTGACCTGAACCTGGCAGTTTCACGTCTCTGATCCTCACTTTCCTTATTTATAAAATGGGGGTAATGACTCCGAACCTGTCTAATGTACGGGGCAGTCAGCTGAGATAAGGGACATCCGTTCACTGTGCAGTCCTTCCAGTGACTATGCACGCAGTGGCTACTAGCACAATGCCTGCTACCCTGAGCTTCACCCTGTGCTTATGGCATCGAAACCAAGAGAGGTTCTGGCAGCTTCAGGCAATGAATAAATTATGGTTTTTGAGCTAAATGGCTTGGGTTCGGATGCCAGCTCTGCCAGTTGTGGTTTCAAGACCATGACCCGCGACTTCCTCTTCCCTAACTACACTCTGCTTTTGGAACAACTGGATAAAGCGTCTCCCTCCCCCCTGGCACGCCGCCTGGTGCATACCGCAGGCTCAGGATGGGCTCGCCCCAGGCCCTTCCACTCCCCTGTGCCTGTTCAGAAAGAAACCACACTGAAAAGGAATGGAGAGATAGGGCTAAGCCTTGGGCCTGTTTGAGTTGGTTGTGAACTGAATTCTGGAATCGCTGATTGCCAGGTCTTTTCCTCCTCACCGTTTTTTAGAGGTGAGGCAACTGGCGCTCTAATAGAAAGTGATCCCTCCTGAGGTCGACTGGCAGTGAACAGACCCTGGGGATGGGTAGGGCACTGGAGGCAGGGAGGACCAGGGCAGGGTGGGCACACACGTGGGCTTCTGGGAGGCCAGACCCAGGCTGAAGGCAGACTTGCCCACCGCAGAACTTACCGGGGGGCCTTGGGTTCCTGGTGGCCCAGCTGCTCCTGCGATTCCATCAGCTCCCTAAGGATGATAAAGCAGAAAGCCGGGTTGCTGTGCGTCTGGATGGAGATGGTCAGCACGTCCTCTCTGTGCGTAAAGCGACGCACAGATCTTACATCCTGTGCCCCTTCCCAGCTGCCTGAACCATGAATACTTCAAAGGTGCTTCTGTCTTCCCCGTAGGACTGGGCTAGTCTCTGGGAATATAAAGGTGCTGGGAGGACACAGCCACATCTCAGGAAGGACCGAAGTATTTACCAGGCGGTCATCCCTGAGACAGTGGTAAATGGTCTCACTTCAGAGGGGGCATTTTCAACGAACATCAGGAATTTCAGGACAAAAGGCAGGAAATGAACAACTGGCTTTATCTTCCAGGGAGATACGAAAGAATTGCTGTGTCGACTCGGGGATGAAGAGATGCATAAATGGATGACTGGAAGGGAAGTTCAGTCTCACTCCCCACGTTCCTGTCCTGCCCTCCTGTACACCGTGCCTCAGCTGTCAGCTCCTCAGTGGGGCATGTCTGCCTACCAGGTCCAAAAGTGCAAGTCTCTGGCCCCTCAGAGCGCCTTTCTTGTTGTTTACTGACTCATTCAGTGGGAACTAAGACAGTGTCTTGGAGACAGTGGATAGGAAGTATTTCTTGAATAAATGAATGGTTTAGAAGCTGGGCCAACTGGGTGACGAAGACAGGGGTTCTTTAGACTAATTAGTGCGTTGCTTCTCACTAGCTTCGGTCAAGTGGTATAAGGTCTCTAAGCTTCAGTTTCATTACCTAGAAAGTGACGCTGCCCACACCATCGTGAGGGGCGGTGCTTACGATGTGCTTAGCACAGAACGGAGGGTGTCGCTAGGAGTGCCTCCCCTTAGGGCCAAAGAGCCTGGGCCCATGTCCTGATTCTCTGGTGACCAGCCACATGGTCTCAGGCAACTTATTACTCCTCTGCACTCAGTCCCTTCACAAAATGGAGATGCCACCTACTTCACTTGAATCTTTGAGACAATCGAGTAAGGTAATGCACACGAAGAGCGGGCCAGCACCAGGCGCGCGCCATGTCTCCCAACTACCGTAAGCTCCGACGGCAGCGTCTTCCCCCGTGTGTGCCTACGGGCCAGCCCAAGACCGCGAATGACAGCTAAACAGTGGGCAACGAGTAAGCAAGCTCTCAGGGTGCACTCCTGGGACTTTCCAGCCGCCTTCGTTCAGTTGTTTTACACGCATTTACTGAGTGCTGATGTTGGGTCAGGTGCCGGAAAAGTTTTCAGGACACAGAAATGGCCGCGTCAAGAAAACATGATGCAGTGGAGAAGAAGTGCAAATTTCCCACGCAGGACGCATCCTGGGAACGGGGTGCAGTCTGATCGGGCCCCACCTCTTCCACTAGGTAAAGACCCAGTAAATGTGCATGCAATAAAGGGGTAACGATAATACTTAAATAAATAACCTACGTTTCATGCTTTCTTGCACCTGGGATGCTGCAGGGGAAGATGACACATCTCGTCTAAACCTAACCAAATTCTTTCTACTCCGAACCTGGGTTCTTCTACGTAAATCTGCCGGTAGCTTCTGGCATCCTAGACTCTAGAATCTAGCTAAGCTGGGATTAAATTCCCTGCTGCGGACTGGGAACAGGGTAAAGGTTTTATCTGAAAGAAAGATGTTGACTGAACGCCAGAAAATAACCTCTGAGAGAAGCCTTGTCTGTTTGGTATCTATATCCCTTGGTACCTTGGACAGGGCCCGGAATATTCTAAACACTCGAAAAGAGACAAATGACCCTAAGGGTTAATGTCGTGGTCTTGAGTTGCTTTTGCAGGACTGACTGTTGAACCTGAATGGGCGGCTGACTCAGCATCTGTGCCCAAGGGCAATCCACAGCACAAAGCATGACACAAAGCAGAAGCTCAGTGAATATGCGCACGTGAACTGAGAGCCTGCATCGCCGGAGAAGGACAAGCTGGCTGCTGATTATAACTGCTTCTCAGTCCCAGACCCATCATCTAGCGGGAGGATAAAAAGCCAGGGGCCAATTCCTCCAGGTGTCACAGAGATCGACGTTACAGCAGTTTCCAACAAAAAGGAAACAAGGGTTCACTTTCACCGGAGATGTCTTTCAGGCTTTGGAACTACAGGGGTGTGGAGGGGGTGGGGTACGAGGTTCAACCGACAACCGTGGTCAAAGTCCTTCAGCTCTCAGGTTGCACGGGGAAGCTGAAGTCAGGCTTATATGAAAGTATTCATGAATAGACCGTTTTTAAATAAAATCAGAGGAGGGGGTTAAAGATTATTACTTACAGGTGGCCCAGGGCTCCCTGGGGGCCCCATGAAACCTGGAACTCCGGGATGGCCCTAGAAAACACGAAAGGCAATTCTTTAAAAAGACTCATAAAAAGCTTCTCAAATCTCTGCAACTACCATATTTCAGACGATAATTCAGAATTTATTTCTTAACTCAAATAACAGTTTTGGAGGAAAACACAACAAAAAGACACTCTCTCTCTCTCTCTCTCTCTCTGGTGCTTCAATGGGTTGAGAAAGTATTTGACAATATTTACAAAAACTAATCTATCCTGCAGGTGGATTTGCTTCAAAAGACTATGAAAGAAGAAGGTGTGGGAGGTGGTTGAGGACATAATGGAAACGAGGGTGGCCGTCATGGCTGAAACATATCGCAGCTGGGTGACGGGTACCGAGGGGGTTCGTTTTATTATACTCTCTACTTCTATGTATGTTTGGAGTGTCCCGTAGTGAAAACGCAGAAACAAACGCAGACACACACTGTGTAAGCCCCTAATGGAAGACTTTCAGCTAGCTGAACTATGGCGACCGCACGATGGCAATACTGGTTATTTAAAGGAGAGCACTGTCCATGTGTTTTTAGAAAGAGCTAAACAAGTTATTGTGTAAAATGTAGAAAAATGACATCTCATTTAGTACAGCAATGTTAAAAAGTTAAACAAAACACCACGAAGGATATGACTTCCCTGCCCTCTCCCTCCATCTCTCACCACTGGAAAACGCGAGCTATCACATCCACTGTAGATGACACTGCCTCTGACAACTCATCCTAATCAGAAGAATCCAAGCTCATTCTGCTGTTCTGAGCACAGAGGGAGCTGCGGCCGCAACGCCGGTCACCCCGTGCGCGCAGCCCCTGACCGCCTCTGGGTGACTCCCCCCTAGTCCTGCGCCCTCTCACGGGACTTGCTCCTCACCGTCCTGTATCTCGGGGCCTGGGGCGGTGCGGGGCATGGGTCGTTGACGAGGAGGACTGAGTGAGAAGTGCGCAAGAGGGTGAGGAGTCCAGGGGAGGGCAGGGGGAGAGAAAGAAGGGAAACGCAGGGAAAAGACCAGACCGACGGCAGCAAAGCAGAAGCAGAGCAGTCCTTTCAAACGGCAGAAAGCTGGCTGGGGGCCCAGGAGCTGAGCGGGCAGCATCGGCCGGAGCCGACGGGGAAGCGGTGGTCAGCACCATGGACAGAGCAGTGTGTCCTCGCCAGCACCATCCTCCAGCACCTCTGGAGAAGCGGCCCGGCAAGGGCGGCGGGGCGCTGGAAAGCACGCCACTGGCAACGTGAGTCATAGGACAGGTAGTTCAGAACCAGTGGCAGGGCGGGAAGAAAGAAGGGGACGTTTCGCAGTGAATGACTACCATTTTAGTGAACAAAAAGCACTAAAAGCAGGAGTCCGAAAGAAAAAACAGAAAAGGCAGGCTCCTCAGACGACTGCGGATGGGAATGTGACAATGAACCAGGGGCATCGAGATGGGGACCAGGAACACGTGATTAAAAAACATACAAGCGCGAAGCATCGACAGGCGCGGTGCTCCTCCGGGCCGAGGGCGCCGCAGACGCGTTACCTGCTCGCCCTTCTGTCCCGCCTCGCCGCCTGCGCCACGCTCTCCTCTGCTGCCCTGGCGAGAAGAAAGCGAGCGAGTGAGTGGGGATTTGGATCGAGCTCCGCCGCCAGAGAAAGAAGTCTGCGTGTACTCATTCGTCCGCCATTCGTTCCTGCATTCATTCACTCATTCTCCACCAATCTCTCGTCAAGTTCGCGCTGCAGGCCAGGCATGGTGTCAACAGAGAGCATCGGGTCCTGGGTGAGGAGCCGCTGATGGAGGGGCTTAAGCTGGTTGTGAGGTGCCGGCGGCGGGCAGTGGAAAATGGGACTGAGGAGACAGGAGTTGCCCACCTCACTGAGAGCCTGGCATGTCCACCCTTGAACGCGGACTGAGCTACAGGCTCTGGAAACGAGTGGAAGGATGTGTGACCCCAGATATCAGAAGGGCCCCTCTGGACACACTGTAGGGTGGACCAGAAGGTTCGGGATGAAGAGAGGGGATCGGGTAAGAGAAAGTGGGGTGTTACAGGGTGAGGAAGGCGCAGCCCGACAGTGACTGTGGGCACTGCAGAGTGGCCGAGGTCAGGGGAGGGGCTGAGTGGCGGCAGGGGGGGGCACACCGCACAGTGGGCTGAGCAGGAAGACGGTCTCTGTCCACAGGCTCCTCGCTGCCAGCCTTTCTAGCTGTGGGACCTTGGGCGGGTCACTTAAACTCTGAGCTGTAGTTTTCTTAATACACAAAATAGAGAAAACAGTGATTGCCCACCTTGTAAAATGTTGGGAGAATAAAATACTACATGGAAAACACTTAGCATGGAACTCAAAACACAGTAAGAGCTCAATAAATATGGGTTACCAAAATTATTTTACATTATTTTGTACATAAACCCTAATTTTTTCATTCACTAACTATGTGTCACCAGGCAAGGTGCTTCAACTCTGTTTCCTTACTTGGAAAATAGAAATAATAGTAACAGTATCTTTGTCATGGGGTTGTCGTAAAGATCAAGTGACCCAAAATCTGTAAAGTGCTGAGGCTGGTGATGAGTTCACTGTTGGCTCTCAATAAACATTAGCTACCATTCTCATCGTCACTATCGTCATCAACATCACCATCACCACCGTCATCGCCATCATCATCACCACAACCGCTATCACCATCATCATCATCACTACATCATCCTCATCATCATCTTCACTGTCATCACGTCGTATGACATCACCACAACCATCATCGCCATCACCAACATCATCACTGTCATTACTGAGGTCATGAAAACACTCATAATATGCAACGTACAAAAAATACCTTTTACGGGCTAACCCTGAAAGTAACATTCAAAGGTTTCAATCTCTCTTAACTCACCTATTTTTGGCTCTGCATTTACTGTGTTAACAAATGTATTTCAGTAAAATGTTATTAAACAAAGAACATTTCAGTTCCTCTAAAAGAATGCATTATGCAGTGAGATAAGTCTTTGGCAGTCGGTCAGCGTTGGCTCTGCTTCTGGCCCGTCATCTCCCGTCTGTGCCTGCCGCAGATCACGCCCCCTCTGCTCTCGGCTTGTTCATCCGGGAAGTGAAGGATGGGGGGAGTCAATCTATGAGGGTCTTCCAGGCCCAGGACCCCACAATTCTCACTGGAGCATCGAGCCCTGCTCCCTCCTCACCCAGATGGCTGTGCCACATCAGCAGGTCTCTGGTGAGGAAGGCCACCTAATAACACTCCTGGCTGCCTCCCCGGGGTGTGTCGGGGGTGGGGGGTGGGATGAGCTAATGCCTCTGAGCGGCCACATGTCACTGTAGAGCAGAAAAAAATAGGTTCCGAGGAGAAGAGCATTTGTTCCAATATTTTTTGCGTGCAATTACTTCGACTGCTTTGAAATCTATAAAGCCAGCACACTGTCTGCAGGCCACAGCACAATCTCAGTGAAAAGAAGTGACGGGGAATAGCACACTGCCTCTTTGACATTTAGGACAATCGCCTTAAAAGTAAACAGTTTCCTTTCAGATCCCGGTGCTTGGTCTGAGCTTGGAGTGATTTCGATCCTCATCTCTTAACAAGTTTCCTTTCAGATCCCGGTGCTTGGTCGAGCTTGGAGTGATTTCGATCCTCATCTCTTAACAATGAAAATGTCAGCAGCCCAAGGATCTCCAGGCATTCTTGTCTCCCTCTCCACAGCAGGTGGGGCTCGAAGCCAGCACGGCCACCCCCAAGCCTGACTCACTTCCTGCCAGAAGAGAGGACTGACATTTACAGAGCCCCTGCCTTGCCAGGCACTCTGCCAGGGCTCCTCAAATGAGATTCCCATTTCATCCACTTCTTTGTTTATATCCTGAGCTGATGCAAAAAAAAAAAAAAAATTATTTACTATGTCAGTGTTATCTAATTCAGCCGGTAGGAGGACCCCATGAGGGAGGGGCTGTTATCAGAGTGCAGACAAGAAATCCGAAGCCACTTGTCACAGCCGCTATTAAGTCAAACGGAGCAACAACCACAGGGGCCCTCACGCTGCCATGCAGCCAGCGTCCCTACGGCTGGCCCCACACCTGCACTCTGCAAACGCTTCCTGTTTCGCCCTCCCGTCGTCTTTGTGAGAGAGGCCATATGGTTGTTCTTTTACAGGTGAGGGACCTGGGGTTCGGAGAAGTCAAATAAACTGCCTGAGGCCTGTAACTAGTAAGCAAAACGCACTCAGCGGCAGAGCCGGGCTGGGGAACCAGCGGACCCCCGTGGTGGCCGCCAGCCCCGGTCTGACTTCACTCTGAGTCGCCGGCTTACAGATCTTTCTTCTCCAGCATGACGCCGGGCCCTGGATGTCACGGCTGCATCTGACCGAGCCCTGCTGACGGGAGGGAAGTGTTCGAGGCGCTGCTTGGTGAGACTCTCAGGGCTGAGGCAGCCGTGGGTGAGACCCCGGCGTGGAGCGGGGGTGCACTCGTGGCTCTGGGCTTCCTTTGGGCAGGGTGGAATTCCAGGTCTCCCGATTGTCCCCAGAGCAGCAAGGGATGCATTACCTCTGCTCTTCGGAACCATCCAGAACACCTGGAAGCGGGGACGTTTGTTCACTTGGTGTCTCCAGTCCCTGTGGTTCCCATGGCCTGGCTGGCAGACGCGAGGATGAGAAAGAAACCAAACGCTTTCCGTGGAGGACAGAACGTTCAGCATTTCCGACCCAGGAGAGGTTTGCGCAGCTGACTCTGCAGAAACTCACGTTCCCAGGGCCGTCGCTCCGACTGCCATCTTGCTCTCCTCCCCGTGGACCTTAATCGTGACCGTCAGCCACAGTCTCCAGACCGTCCCCTTCCCAGTGTTCTCTGCAGTGTGAAGGCTCTAGAATGGAGCTCTGTAACTGACCTGCCCAGGCATTGAGCCCCTCAGACCCAGCCTCCAGAGAGCAGCTGCAAATCTGCGAGTAAATCTCGGGGAAGCTGACGTGCCCGATGCTGAATCGAAACTGCGAACAAACAAGCGAGCCGAGCACGTGACCGGGGGATTCCCAGGGCCTCGGCCGTACAAGGACACACGCGATGACCGCAGTGCTCTGTCGCCAGCGGCATGTTCAGTGCACTGACTCACCTTCACGTCCGCAGGTCTAGCAGAGACCTTGGCTGGGAAGTGGCGTTCGACACAGAGGAAATGAAACAGCCCTCCGTCCGTTTCCGGGAGAGCGACACGGGATGAATGGAGAGGGGAGAGACTGGCTCGGGCTTGAAGCCAAGAAGACGGGCAAGCCTGTGAGTCCTCAGCGAGGCCTCTGACTCCCTGCCACTCATTTTCCCAACAACAGGTAAGGGGTGCTAATGCAGGGGCAGCCCCAGAGGCCGTGGAGATGGACACGCTGCTGCCCAGTGGGAGCTGTCCTCGGTGCGGGGGCTGCGGGCACGTTACTAGAATAGCGGGATGCTAACTGCTGGGATCCTGGAGTCACACGGGCAGCGGTTCACCTCTGCTCTATCACCTACTACTGTCATGCTGGCATTTAAGCTTGCTAAGCCTCGGGTTCCTCTTCTGCAAATGAGACAATATCTCTGCCTCCTAGGGTGATGCTGACCACTGCAGGCGATATTATAAAGCAGGTAGCCTGGCCCTTGGCCCTCAAAACCCTGGGTATATTGTCCACTGCAATCCCCCGGGCGCTCACTGAGCCCTGAGAACTTCTCAAGGTCACCACAGACTCACAGGAGGAGAAGCTAGAACTCGGTCTTTCAGACACAGCACTAATCTTGCTTCTTTTTCTGGACGGAAGCTTTCTTTGGTTTTCTCTCTATACGTGAAGGAACAAACCCTCTTCTGAACTGAATTATAAAAGAACAAAGGCAGAGCCATTATCCCAAGACTCCAGCCTTTCAAGCTGGGTTGGGCTGATGCAGACAACCACTCCCATTTCGTGAGGGGTCGCCTTGTCTGCTTAAGTGGCTGGCTTCCCTTTCTTTCTCTGAGTAAAGGCCATTCTTCAGCGGGGGCTGAACCCACAAGCCAGCAAGTTGACAGCAAAGGTTACTTAGGGATCAGCTGAAATGACTGGCCTGCAGAATTTCTAGGTGAAAAGCTTAGCTCCCGATGATGACCCCGGAAAGAGAGGATGATACGCAGTCAATCACTTGGCGGATGCTGCATTGTGCCGGTGTCTCAACCCAGCACTGCCCGGGTAGACTCTCCTGTTCTATCCACACTGAGAGCTGGTATCTGCGGCTCCTGAGGCAGGAGCCCTGGGTGTGACGAAATGCTACAAGGCTTCCCAAAATCCACGGATAACAAACACTAGACATCTTAACCTGCCAACCAGGCGTGGAAGATGTGGGTGCTTTCAGTAACGGTATCCCGCAGGCCTGGCATTTTTGCTTGCTTGCTTGCCTTTGAATAGTAACAGTAATGACCCCAACCCTGTTTTTCAGTGGGACACTCGCCCTGGGTGTAAAATGTGTGGGTCTCCCAAGATGCGGAGTATTCCGACGCCATATCTCCAAAAGTCAAAGTTAATGTGAAATAATCCGAGATGAACAAAATATCAAAATGTAAATAAACACATGGCTCTGATGGGGCTGGGGTGGGGGCTGGGGGGTGAGAGGCAAGTCAGTCAAGTGCAGGGTTGGGTCCCATCTTTACTTTACGTGTCGGTATTTTGTTTCTTGTGAATCTATTGCATTAATTTTAAAGTTATTAAAATATGCATTAGAGTTTTATTTATCTTGCTCACGGAGGTTTTGGGCTTCCCCTTACATTTTCCACCCCGGTCCTGACCCCAATGCTGACCGTGACCACAGGGCTGAGAGAACAATCGAGCCGAGGCTGACAGGGCTTGCGATGTCCGGGTGCGCGCGCTGCATCTCGCGAGCAGCAGTCCTGGCCATCGGCCTGCAAGGTCACTGCTCTCACGCTCCCTAGTCACCGCAGGAAGAGCAAGGACAGAGAGGCGAGAACGACCCCAGACCCCGAAGGTCTGGTTCCTGCACTAGCTCTCCCGATGACAATTTATGTTGCATAAAATTGGGACACAGGGAGAGACACAGTGGCACTTCCGAATGTTGAGGTGGGCCGTGCACAGCCTGTGTGGAGGCCACTGGGGGGCCGGGGAGGCCCCCAGGGGAGTCCCGGTGCTGGCAAGGGGAACGAGGTCCGAGGTCGGCCTGACTCCCTCCCTGGTCCCGCAGCAGCGCTCACGCAGTCTCTTAGAGCTAAATACTGTCCCCGGCAAGAGCCCAAACAGCCAGATGCTCACTCTGGCAGCCAGAGCTCGCCACACGGAGCGCCCCGCCCGTCTCAGATGCTGCCTGCAGGTTCACACGGAGTGAGTAACGCTCGCTCGCCCTTGCTGGGCACTCGCTGTCTCGCAGTAATTCCTACTGAGCGCCAACTCCTTCTCATCACTGTACCCTTCGACTCCAACCTGTCTCGCGGCTGCTTTCACTGTCGTGAGCGAGCGTGACGCCGAGGCCCAGACAGGTCAAGGGCTTCGCCTAAGGACGCAGAGCCCAGAGGCTCATGTCTTAACCAGTCGGCCCTGCACATTCCAACCCTGAAGTTCATTTCACACCTTCAACCCCTCAGGTATTTTGGATGAACAACCTGAGACTCAATGCGTTGAAACGACCCCACCGCCCAAGGTCGCTGAGAGAGTCAGAGCCATGGTCAGGCCCTGAACGGGGCTTTTCTGATTTTAAAACCATTATTCCTGTACGCTGGACATCCCCGGTCCTCTGACTTGAGTTACTCAGCGAGGGGAGCAGAAAGGGATGCACACGACACCTGTGAAGGCTCACTGACCTGTGCCCCAGCCACTCCTGGGGGCCCGGGGAGGCCTCTGGACCCAGCGTCTCCCTGTACCAGGGACAAAAGAAAAAAGAACACAGGAATGAGTGGCCGGAGTCCACGGCCTGAATCACCAGCAAGCCGTCACCCTGACACACCTATTCACTGGTTTCCCGGTTTCCCACTGGGAATTACTGTCCCCACCCTCATCCCCATAGGCCTGAACAAAGCATAGGCGGCTGGTGGCAGGGGGTGTGGCTACATATTCAAGAGCGCGACCCACAACTAATGTGACTAGTGGTGTGGCAGCCGGTCCCCAAGAGGGCCCCACGACCCCGCCCCCATTCGCACGCTCGAGCAGGCTCCTGCCCCTGCGCCAGAGGCGGTGCTGGCACCTCCGAGACGGTGCATCACAGCACAGTGAAAACGCTACGTCTCCCTCCACGACTCACCTTTTTCCCTTCTGTGCCATCTCTCCCTGGCTTTCCTGGGAGACCTTTGTCCCCTTTGAAACCCGGCAGACCAGGGAGGCCCGGGGGGCCTGGAGGACAGTCACTGCACACATCCTGAGGGAGAGAATACGTTATATGGTTACCAACAGAGCAAAGGGTGGCCACGGCCCCCGCCTCTCCAGATGGAGGACGCAGCAAATGATGACGACGTCAACAGGTGGATTCGGTCTCACGCTGTGCCCAGCTCTGCATTTTCCTCTGTCTCAATCTTAGTTTTAGGCGCCCATACACCTGAATGATGACCTCATTTCTCCCTGCTTCTGAGCGGTCAGACTGCTGGGAGAGCAGCTCAAAACAACAGCGTCGAAAGCACACTAATCGTATCTGCGAGCGCCTAAAAATACTAACGATGCAGATGTAATGCAAACATTCAGTGTTGTTAAGAACAGCACGGTCTGTCTCTAAGGCTAGAGACAAACGCAGCAGAAAGCCGGGTCCTCCGTGGCCGGGGTGCCGGAGTGGTCTCCAGACAAAGGAGCAGAGGAAAGGAGGGGACAGGCACACCCCAGGCCTTTCTTGCTGCGACACACAACCTAATCTGACCGTGCCTGGCTTTATTCTTTGTCCAGAGTGGGCATTTAATAAATATAGCCTGGGAGTGAGCTTCGCTCTGCTTCTTTGGGGCCGGGGTAAGTGCCGTCCCTGGAGTGAATTTCAAGTTCTCTCAGCCCAGAGAGCATATTTGCTAAGTCATCTGTGTCATCCCCACATCTCACAGTTTGGAGCGCAGTATGTACCAAATGTAACTCCCTGGCCTGACCACGCCGCGGCCCAGCCCACGTCTCAGGCTTACGATGCTTCTTCTACGCCCTTCTCTCCACTCTACCCTCTCCTCCCGTCTTCGCTCCTCGTGAAGAGTTAAACAAGATAAGCCAAAGAAGACACCTGGAACAGCCTCAGACAATCCCCAGCACAGTCAGCGATTACCCACTCAGGAGCCTTCAGAGCATCCACGCTGCTGGGCTCGGTGCCTTTCTGCTTCGAGACCACAGTGAGTACGCGTCTTGAAGAGCTCATGGTTAAATGGTGTCAGCTGACACAAAACAAACGCATCAACCGTGGCCTTCTGAACGCGACGCTGAGCAGATCCGCAAAGGCACGTGTCGGCTGCACCTGATCGTAGTCACCGAGGTGGCTGCAGGCGGATCATTGTTCATCTGGGTCTCTGATTCAGAATGGAAGAACTCTTCCACCTCTAAACCAGCTCCGAATGGCCCACCTTCTTTTCACTCGCTCTGTTCTTATTCAGTCTTCGGAGATTCTTTAGAAGTCTCCTACTCCAAGAAGCCTTCCTGCTTCGGGCTGGGGGCGGGCTCCTGCTCCCATAGAACCCAGGAATTCTTGCTATCGAAACCCGTCTCTCTGTTGTGGTCTGTTTCTAGCTCCAACTTCTCAACACCAAGCAAGAAGAAGGCAGAGAGACAACTGCTTTTTCTTTGTATGTCTAGTTCACAGCCTTCCACAGAGCACGAGCTCAACGAATGAACGAACGAGCCGACCCAACCGGCCAGTTGACGGATGGACGAACCGCCTGGGCTTTGGGTGGCCTGCCTGGGCCAGCCCCTGTTAGCAAGTGGTTTGAAGAGCTGGCTGACTCTTCGGCGGGGAGGCGGAGTGTGCTAAACATCGGGGCACATGAAGCATCACGACAACAAGCCAAAGGGTGTGGTTTCGGTCGCCGTTTTTGTTTGGAAGGGAAGCAGGGCTGGGAGGGACTCGCCTATGCCTCAACCTCCCCTCTGGTTCCCTAAAATGAGACTCACATCTGAAACATGGTGACGGGTGGATGGCGCGTGGGACTGGAGCCAGCCTGGTGGCATCAGGAACTCTGGCATGAGGTGGACAGGGAGGGTGCACTGGCAACCAGGAGCTGTCCTTCGCAGCAGGTCCACAGCGTAAAGGGGCTCCATCTGCGTAGTATAAAACCTCACTACATTCCTATTGCTTCCCAATTTCTGGCAGGGCTAACTCTCATCCTAGGTCTTAGTCACAGATCCCATGAAGGACTATTCCCTGAGGGCCAGAGCTGTCAGCAGCCCCCAGACTCAGCAGTGAGGGAGCCGGACTTAGCACACTGGCCTGGTCCTAGAGCCCAGTGAGCACGGGACGAGACCAGCCTCCAACCTGCAGTCTCATCAGCGCTGGCTTTGGCTCCTGGGGGCCCCGGCCCCTCCTGGCCCTGGGCGTCCCCCACGGCCTTGTGACGAGACAGGGTTCTGCCTCCAGCCAGAACACACAGATGCTTCTGCCCACCTGGGTCACGGCTTCACCTCCCTGGGCCTCGACCGCCTTGTCTATGAAATGGGGCCTCAAAGCCCAGTGGGAAATACATGGCGAACCCCCCATGCTGAGCCTCACGCACGGCGGGAGCATGATGAATTTCAGCTGCTCCACGTGCCATTGTGTTGCAGTTATTTATTCTTTTCCATCCCGAATCTGTCGTCTGGCCACATCCGCAGATCAGAAGACCTTGATCGTCAACTCCTGGCTCCCAACTCCTCCATTTGGCCGTTATCTTCGGCACGTGACTTACTCCCGGAGTCCATTCCCGTATCTGTTAACCAGGGCCACTCTCCTACTTGGGATTAATGCAAAATGTAAAACAATGCACACAGGCACCTGGCACGCTGCAGCCTCCCCGGGGATAATGCATAAATGCTGGCTCTCCGGTCTCTGGCGCCCCCCCTTTGGTCTGAGGCATTTGCAGCACACCCAGCTCGCTGTGTCAGTGTACTCGATGTCCTACCTCGGACCAAATAAGTGCTCAAGAAAATGCCTGCAAAACTGCATTCTTTACTATGTGGAAAAAAGCAATTGTTGCTGCCCGGATGTACACACACGCACGGGGCTCTTTGCAAGGGTTGGATTAAATCATATTTATCCAAGGGAGTCACCCTGTGGAGCTGTCCTGAGCATGACCTCCCTGGATGCAGAGCGACGATGAGAGTTCATTTAACAGGGATTTTTAGAAGATGAACTTGGCACCCAGGCCGTTTTCCAACGATCATTATGACGTATGTGATGCTATAAAATTCTTTAGCAGAGGTAAATATTCTGGAATGAAAGATGCCTTCTCAGAGAGGGAGAGTCATGCCACCAGCCACAGGGACCAGACCAACGAGTTCCTACCCACATCATCGAGATGGCAGCAGCTGATCATCAAAGGTTGTGAAGGCCAACTCTGCAGACCCGGGCGAACCCACGGGGCCCAGGCTCGTGTCCACAGGGTGTCCGGGCGAAGTGCAGCTTGCGGGACCCAGGAGTCTCGGGCGCCACCCTGGATGGGTGCTCACGTTCCCTGTGGGGTTCCTCGCTGCTCCCATGAACACGGCCGCACACTTTAGCAGTGGAGAAAGGCTGGTTTGACAAAGCGCCCGTCCTGACGCAGTGGCTATTATCGGTGTCAGGAGTGGGAATCTCGAGGACGAAAGGCAGGGGCTGCTGCAAACTCAGCTCCTTCCAGAGCGATAAAATTATGAAAAATGACCCAGGCTAATAAAAGCCTCTATAAACAAGGGATTGAATCAATAGATAATGATTTCTTGTCATGTCCTTGACCATGGAAAAAAAAAAACTCGCTTTCTTGTCAATAAAAACCAGGGAAGACTGTGCCACTACCACTCAAGTTTTAATAAAATTTATAACTGTCCGTCAAGGCGCCTCGACGTGTGGGGTAAAAAGTCCCAGCTTCCGAGAAGGTTCTCCTCCTCCTCCGCTGTCCCCCCTTGTTCTCATGCACAACGAGGTGCTTTCCAACAACACGCAGGGATGTGCTGAATTAACCCGAGAAGCGAGAAAGGGGCCGACCGTGCAAAACTCTGTGCCGGGCTTCACCCGAAATTAAGACGCAGGCTTTCAGCGGCGGCGGGAAACGGCGCTCCACACTCGTGGCAGCGAGACTGTGCTTCCTGAGCCGTGAATCCCGCCCCGTCTCCATCTTGCTCACAACCTGTCCCAGCTCTCTGCCGTGTAAGACTTGAGGTTTTCGGCCAGACTCCCCGGCATCCAGCATTCACTGCCCTACGTCAGCAGAGTTATGCAGAACTTGTCAGGGCCTTTACCATTCATGGAGAAGGTGCACGTGGTTCTGAAAACCAGCTAAGTCCACACTGAAATCCTGACTCATCCGTGCCTGCGTCCTGGTCCTTGCACCAACAGGACAGGACCCACCCCGACCTGTCGGACTTGTTCCAGAACGTGAGGAGGCAGTGCGGTGTGGGGTTAAAGGTCAGTGTCCGGGATCAGCGAGGACGGGAGTGTGTTTCCAGGAAGTCGCTGATCCTCAGCCTGTCTCAGGTCCCCTGCATGCAAAACGACCATAAATGCTACCAACCTCACAGGACCTGTGAAAACTAAACCAGAGACACACATCAAGCTCGCAGACAGCGCTGCCTGAGGAAGTCTGGGAAAATGGAAACAGCCGACGTCTGCCCTGTCCAAGAAGACCGCCGCTAGCGACTGGGGCTACTAAGAATTTAGAACATGGCTAGTGTAAGTGAGGACCTGAATTTTAATTGTATCTCGTTTTAATTACATGGACACACGTGGCCAGTGGCTGCCATATCCAACAGTAGACTTATCACACAGCCAGGCGTAGAGTTCTCAACAAATGCTGCTTTTACTGTTGGTCCCATAATGTAGTTGTTCAGACAAAAATCACTTATTGCGATCTCCAACCCCCCACCACCATTTTCAAAACACATGCACATTTATTGTTTTTACCTTCACCAAGAGATTTATGTCCCCCGGAGACAGCAGTGAAGAGAGGCCCTGCAGAGCAGAAGTGAGTAAGTACAGGCACACAGACACGTGACACAGTCCATCCCACGTGTCTTCGGACGGTGAAAGGCCTTCGGAACATCAGCTGTCACTCATAACCCGGGCATCTGTGCTGTGCACAGGATGCAAACGGCCCAGTGTATACCCCGAGCCTGGGGGCCAGAGAGAAGGCGCCTCTGAGGCACCGAATGTACAGGCCGCCAGTCCTAGCCAAATCTGGCTGACACTGGCCTGTCTGGCCCCAGTGTCCTGCTGGCTTCTCCTCTTCTCCTGGTGGTCCCTCCCCCCCACTCCCATCGAAACCCTGCAGGTCATATGGATACTATAGAAGGCAAAGGGGTGGACTGTCATAGATTCCCCAGACAAGTAACGCTATTGCTATCGGTCATTCACAACCTGCTATGAATGTAATGCAATTTCTTCAGCTCTCGCAGCTGAAATAGCACTTGAAACCTCATCTGTCATGATGGGTTGAAAGTCTCTAACTCTGGGAAGGAGGTTTCAGAAATCAGCAATTGCGAAGTCCCTAAAGCTACACAGGAGTCTGCAGGGCACTGGATTCATCCTCAAACACAGGGAGTGGGAATGTGGCTGGTCCGGAGCCCGAGATGGGTCGAGGCTGGGTTCGCATTAGAGGACAAGGGACACAGAGTTGGGAGGAGACATGGAATGGAAAGGCGGTCACTGAAGGGAAGGGGGTCTTGGTAAGACCTGGGGATTGGCATGCTACTTTGCCAACTTCTAAAATTCTGTGAGGGAGGGGAGGCGGAAAACCATGTCTCCGGGGGGAAGGCGGGGAAATGTCCCGTAGAACACGGGGAGCCTGAGGCCACCACCGAGCTTGTGGCAGCTGATTTCTCCCAGCGAAGTCTGACTTTAGGTTTCTGAATTCTGGATGCAGTCTGCTATCCTGGGACGGCTGAAAAAATATTCTTTGGGATATTTTTATGCTGTCGGTTTTCCCTGGCAACGCCCCTTGTCCTGACCCCAAGGGGTTTCTGCCATAACCTGTGGCTTTCAAGACCACGTGACAGTGGCATTGGACACGTTTGCAGAGGATAACGTAACCTTGGGTATTTCAAGTGTTCGGTCCACTCTCGAGGCTACTGCAAGAGGAGGTACCCGAAAGAGATGGGTTGGACCGGCTCAGATTTGGAGGCACTGAGGGAACCACCTGCCCTGGGCGGGCACCCACCGGGCTGCAGCTCTCTGAGGCCAAGCCGAGGCTGTCTCAGGCCTTCCGTGGGAGGGCCCACCTTGCAATATTACCTTACTGAAATTGAATTTGTGGGGCGGGGG